CATGTCCATAAATTATACACAGGTTATTCATTTCGTTATTGAACTTCCTACAATCAATTGTAAAGGGGTCAACTTTGATTTTAGGTATCAGGCATGTGTCTGTGACTTTTATATCTGAAGTTATAAGGTAATTATTCCAAAGAGGGAAGAAATGCCCCCCCATGCAAGGGGCCCCTGGTTCACTCCATAGGGTTAAGTAGTCTTAAACTGGCCCTGTCCCAACTTTTTTGAAAGGTGTCACAAGCACCTAATATGTAGTGTATAAAACTATTAAGTTCATAAGTTCATAAGTTAAAACATTAAATGTTTTATGGGTTTTAATTTAACACAGGTAAGATAGGGTGGACAAATCACTGCTTTCTTTTTTATATGCATTCTTCATACTTTCCCAGATTTTTCAGAATTAAGAATTTATAAGAAATGAATTAGGAGACAGACAGGATCACTGGGTTTGAAACAAGTATAAGGGAAGATAAGTAAAAATATAGTGAAATTGATGCAAAAGACTGCTGTAAAAAGGTGTTCACTGGGAATTTCTTGGGGACAGAGAAGAAAGAGAATGGGTGATGGATTCTAGGGAATAAAATAGAGAGAAACCACCATATGGAAGCTATACTTGGCGATTAGCATGAAGAAACTGTATTGTTTTTTACAACAGTAAAGAATTCTCCTCAACGTAAACCTGAGGGATAGAACACCTGAACTTTTAATATAAAAGACAGTAATAATTTGTAGTTATGAAATCTGATGTAAATGTGGTAAGCATGTTTATTAATAGTCTACTAAAATGCACAATGCATATATATTATTTATATAGTAATTTTACATGATATAAATGACTTCTTTTCCTTTTGATCTGATGTTTCGTAACAGGTGGCAGAACCAATATGCCGCAGTGCTTTGCGGGAAAGCAAATCCATGAGCTTGCCCCACCCTGTGGTGCATGCCCTTTTGTGTATAACAGCTGCTATGCAGCTCTATGGGGGCAGAATCTGAATATGAATGTAGCAGAAGAACTTGCAGCATTGAATCTGCTCATGTGGAATAAATGCTATTAACTCTGGCTTCTGTGGGATGTTCTCCTTGTTAAACATCGTCTGTGTAGAAGCAATGAGACTTCTACTGTGGAGTCTGATCTCAGCAGTTCAGATAACTGGTTCTGACAGCTGGGGGGAAAAGCTATTGAACAGCTATTCACAGTACTTTATAGCAGTTGTTCCATTAACAAACTAGCTAACTTCTCATTTCCTATTTCCTCTCCAACTGCTCACATTTCTTCCTTTGGAAAATATAATTTTAGCAATAATATAAAAATAACCAGCTGAATTAATAAAAATGTGCAGCGGAACTAAAAATAAGAATCACATTTTGATAGAACTAAAACCAACTCTTGCTTTTGGTGGGAGCTATATGAGATAGAGATGAGAGGAAGGGATTTTATTTTGGGGAGGAGTTTTAACAAAAAACCATCAACAAAACAGGCAGCAATTTCTGTATCCAAAGCAGGGGAGAAAACAGCATAATGCTTGAATGAGAGAAAGTGTAAGAATGAGAGAAAACAAAATCAAATAAACAAGACATAACAACATTATGCAATAAAAGATGTTCCTCTGTGCCCTGAATGAATTACACCCTACCTCAAACTCACTCCATGCCTCCAGTTCCACTCTGTGCCATGTCCCTACTCTCTGTACAACCTAAAGATTTTTTTCTTTCCTCTTTGGATACACTACCAGACTTATCATGAATATTGGTACAAAGTTCTCAGTATTCTGTGGGGGAATGACCTCTCGGGCAATCACAACAACATGAAAAACAGCACACTGCAATTTCTGAAGTTCCAGTATATGATCTTACCTTAACATAGTCATACTCACAGAGGTATGAGGGCTCAAGGTCAAAATGCATGAAATAAAGTCTAATTTTATACCCACTGGGTACACTTATATTCCATCTGACTTCTGAATCCTTTGGGTAGGATTCAGGAAAATTGGGTGAATGGAAGGTTCCATACATGTCATTCAGGATCATAGCTGATGGATGATGCAGGACTGTAAAAGTCACCAGGAAAGGCAGGACTCTGGGAAAGGAGAACAAAGCTCTCATTACTGATAACACACTTTCAGTAAGATGCTACCAAAACCAACCACTCAAAAACAACAGGAATAATGATTGTAAATAAACTCTGATGAATGGTGTATGCATATGGATATTCAGTGTTTCCTAACGCACTTTCTAAATTTACCGCTTCAGCTCTCAGGACACACAATGGGTATTTTCCCTCACATTAGTCTCTAAATATTTAATCTGCAATTTCTGCAGTTCTAACAAGGTCATTCTTATCTTTATACATTCCATCAATCGTAATCGTATTAGTTAGTTAGAAACAGAGTATACTTGGCTATTAAATGTTGCAACAAAACCTACACACGTCATTGTTAATATTAATATATGAAATACTTTTTAGTGGACTTATATTATTGTTCCTGTTTATTTATTATTATATAATATATGCATTATAATACATGCAGTATTTACGGGGAAAAAACTCACTTACCCTGTCATCGCTAAAGTTGTGTCGGATCTCTATAAGATTTCTTGTTCGAGGTCCCTGCAAACAGCAAGATTCACATTGTTTACAAATGCATTGTTTCCTGTGTGTGACAGTGTGAGGGAGAGGGAGCGCGCGGGAGAGAGAGAGACAGACAGAGAGAGAGAGAGAGACTGTCGATTAAAATAAGTTTAATTCAACAATAATGTGTGGTGTTTTTCATAATTCTTATTGGGAATCATAACTAGCATTGGGTTCACTCAGCTTTGCCATACACCCAAATGTTACAACATTACAACATTAAAATGTATTTAAATAGGACGCCTTTAGAATAGTACTGTTTTCCCACTTTCGTGGACAGGATAAGCGGTTAGAAAATTGATAATGCTGTTCTAATATTACTTTGCAACTTTAAATATAATTCGGGACAGAGTGAATTCGGATAAAGTAGACTATCAGGTGGAAGTGGGCCATTTAAACTTTGGCCTCTGTTCAAACATGAATCATTCTTTCACTGAAACCAGTCCTAAATTGAAGCTACATTGTCTCTTTAAAAAAAACACTAGTTTTGGGGGGCGTTTCCCGAAATACTTCGTAAGGATAAGTAGTTCGTTGTCTCGCTCATAATATCAGTCGTTAATTAGCTATTATTTCTCAAATCCCTTCATAAATAAAGTAGTTCGTAATCTCGCTCGTAAATTTACGAGTGCTCGACCCACTCACATACTGCGTCGTTCTTTAAACTTCTGCCGCTCATTCCTGTCCCAGAGAAGCAGAGGTCGCCCGAAATAGATCACAAAACACACTGACACTCTTCTTTTAACATAATAATAATGATAATAATAATAATAATAGCCTACTCTATGTCGCGATATAAAAGTATAATGTAGGCTACAAATTAGCGCAAAAGGTCTCGTTGTTTTAACTCCTGTATACACTTTGAGTCAGTTACATATCGGAGTTGTGCATCAAGATTCAAGAGGTTTATTCGTCATGTATACAGTTGTACACATACAACATATAGTGAAATGTAACCCTGGTCACTCCAAGCAGCTGTGCATGTGTAACCCCTCATGTGTCTGCGTTGTGGTTTTCACTCAAAGAACGAAGAGACGTGGGGCCATGCAGCGGTTTTATTCACCTGGCACAAATAACACAAGGTTGGGAGTCCGCAGGGCGGCACAGCTTGAAATATATAAGCAATGCTAGTATGGGGAGAGACGGAATGTTAGCTCACGTGTGGTTTCAAAACTTCGACAAAAATCCATTCAAAACTACATAAACAACAACATAAAGTACACCGACAACATCTACAAGGAGGGAGATGCAATCTCTATCAATCAGTATTGATTTGAAATGTTCACTGGAGCATACATCGGAGCGCTGTTGACATAGAACTTACCGCTGGCTTAATCTCCAAAACTGTGAGAGAGCCAAGCAGTTCTAACTAAGCTACCACTAGAGGCCAGTATTTGACCACTATACGATTAGTATATATGGGAAAAGCTGGCTCACACAGGAGTGCAAGTGGAAACAGCAAAATGTACACTGTTACACATGATTAACAAAATATAGAAAAATAATAAGATTTAAAAATATATTAAACATTCAGCTGTAAATAATCTATACATGATAGGCAGGGTTCGAAATTAACACCCGCCAACCCGCCAAATGCGGGTTAAAAATCATTTTGGCGGGTATTGATAAAAACTTACCAGCCAGTTTGGCCGGTGATGCATGAACCAATCATGCAAATCATGTCAGAGACGCTCTGGGTCGTTTGTCCCCTCCGTCCTACATTTCACATGAACACTACACTACGGGTGACGTTTTAGATACCTTTGGCAGCAGCACGCAGATACTGTACGCTTCGGTTTGCGGGTCCAATCAACGACGAGAGCGCGAAAACACAAACAAGAAATAGGAAATATCGGATGAGCAAAGAGGACTGAGCTGGACAGCGAAATAAGCTAAAATCAAAATGCTGCGGTGGTTAGGACAGACGTCAGGATCAGGAAGAGGTGAGAAGAGGAAGGAGGCAGAACATGAAAATGTTGACAGAGCGTGCGAAACAAAGAGAAGGAAGTTTAATTGTAAATGGCAGACAGGTCGTCATTGGCTAGTGTTTGATAGTAAAAATGCGGTCATGTTTTGTCAGATTTGCCGTGAGTACACGAAAGAAAAAAAATAAAACTAACAGTTTCGTGGTGGGGATGTATAGTTAAGTTTATAACAGTTTATAACTGTATAGTTTGTTGTGTGTATTGCACTTTCTGTGCGTTTTTCATGCACTGTTAATAAAATGATCAAATTTTCATTCAGTGGCATTCATAATCTCTTATTTTCACCACGTAAAAATTTGGTTGGCTGGTAACTTCAGAAAGTTACCAGCCACTTTGGCTGGTGATCAAAAAAAGTTAATTTCGAACCCTGATGATAGGTAAAAGGTATTGTGCTGTACAATATAAGTGCAATGTGCAAGAGGCCTGAGGTATGTGCCAACAATTTGGACAGTGTGAAAGCAATACTTATAGGATTATGTCATTGTTACAGTGACTGAAGAGTCACTGTAGAGTCCAGTGGAAGGCCTAGAAGTATTGAGTATTGTCCTGGTTTAGGAGCCTTATGACCTGGGGAAAAAAGCTCCTCCTTGACATTTCCTTTCTGGTCATAAGGCTGTGGAAGCGTTTGCCTGAATTCAGCAGGCAAAACAGAGAGTTATTGGGGTGGGATGGATCCTTGGAGATATTTGTTGCTATGCTCCTACAGTGGCTGTTGTAGATGTCTTGTCGGGAGGGCAAGGCAGATCTGGTGCAGTGCTCAGCTGCTCTAACCACCCTCTGCAGGGCTTTCCAGTCCTGGGCAGAGCAGTTCCTGAACCACGATATGATGCGCATGGTCATATACATATTAAATTTGATTTCACAACGTCAGTTCAACGTCAGATGTCACTGCATATCATGTCAATGTCGTACGTTACTTTTTGGTTTTGACCGAATGCGAGATGGCGGGTGAATTTGAAATTGAGGACAACCCCCCCGATCTTAAATTGGCGGTGTGGCAGCATTTTGGCTTTCTGGTAATCACAAATGAAAATGGCAAGAAAAGCACAGACAAGACAAAAACTGCGTACAAACATTGTAAAAGACTGATAACATACACAAATAACACAACGAACATGCTTCAGCTTGTCCACCGGCACCACAGTGAGCTGAATTCACCACCGCCAGAGAAGAGATTATTAAAAGGACAAACCACGCTAAAAAGCTGCACATACAAGCCTTAGTTTATTTGGTAACGCTTTATATTGAGTGCACAATCATAATGCATTCATTACTCATTTATAGAACATTCAGTGCACCTTCATAATGCATTCATAGAACATTTATTTGAAGATTTTTAAAATTTATTTTGATTTGGGATTTTTTTTTAACAGTATTTTATTCAATTTCAGTTGCACTGTTAAGAGTAGGACACATTTTGCAGTTTAGAAAGATAAATAAAGGAATGTTTTTGAATAAATTTGTCTGCAGCTCATTCTGCAGACAGACACAGGAACCACAGGAGCTGGAGCTATGGAAACTGAGCACACCGGAGGTCTAGGGATGGGAGACTCAGGGATAGTAGTTGCCATAGTGGGAAGCACCTCAGGGGCAGGAACAGGCATCTCAGGGAAGAACACAGGAACATAAACTGGAGCCACGGAGACTGAGCACAGTGGAAGCCCAGGAACGGGAAACTTTGGTGCAATAGGTATCACAGGGGAAAACATCTTTAGGATAACGGGAGGAATCTCGGGGACAGGCACGGGAACCACAGGAACAGGTATGGCCGGGTAAGGTGTAAGGCAGGGGTATTCAACAAAAATTTAAAGAGGTCCAGTTAGAGAAAACCTCTTGAAGCAAAGGTCCGGAAGATCATAATGACTAACTATTTAGTGTGATCTACATTTAAGTAGCCTATTAGTTGTACCAACATTGCATGTAATCAGTACCTGACTGTCAAATCAATATTTATTGTCACGTGACAAAGAACTTCGGCCAGCTGGCTGGAGTGAGATTTTCAATTCGAGATGTCTGCACACACATGTAACAGTTCTTACCTAGTAAATAATCTGCTTTTGTATTTAACCGTATAAATACACTTCTGACGTAGCTAATTTTAGGTTTTATAATGAAATAATATAGATTTGCCGTAAGATTTCCAGTATGAGTCTGAAAGCGTGAGTGTCATGCCAGATGCTTGAGATTTGGCAGCCATGAAAATGTACATTTTTTGTTTCACCCGAGTTTATTTATATAACAGATAACATTACTTTATACATATGTTAATGTCAACAATAAACTACGTCTATTTATCCAATATGTTATATAATACATACTGTATTTGAAAACTGTTCAGCTTTACGATTTCAGGACAGAACAGTCACTCGGTTAGGAACATTATGGCTTTTTGGTTGTGGTTTTAGCTTCGATGCTGCTACTAACACTAATAGCACATTAGCACAGACAAAGGGCTGCATACGCCGAACTACGTCTTGCTTGGCGGTCAAAGGCGTTTGACGTTCATTGGCGTGGGAAACGGCTGCTCTACTGCTAAATCACTACCGAAAAGACTACAAACGCTGCGCCGCTTAAAATAGAAGCGTCCCGTCAGGTTTTAAATAATAACTTAATGTTTTGCCTATCGGTCCGGGTCCGCATGGGGCTCTGGACAGAGCGGTTGGGACTTTAGGTGCTGACCCGGACGGAGCAGCAGAAACTACCTGCGCTGATCTGGGCGGAATGGCAGCATGTAGGTCTGACGCTGACTCAGAAGGAGTGGTGGCTGGTGACCCTGGTGTGACAAACACCACTGGATTGAATACTGTGAGGTAATGGTGCGTTCGTTTTTCTCTCGGAACTTGGAAATTCCGAGTTGAGTGACATCACGTCCGACAATCTCCCGTTCGAGCTACCCACATCTCCGAACAAACATGGCTGCCTCCATGAACACGTTGCTGTGTGTTGTTGCTTTATATTTTAGCAGATTTGGAGTTTTCCAAATGGAGAAAATGGAGAAATTAGATTTTTCCGAGAGACAAACAAGAAACACGAACTAGTCAAACCACATTAAAAGCTTTATAAAATATTTTAGTACATTCATAGCGATATTCTGTTTTCGATCAGTAAACAAACTACAAACAAACCAAGTCGCCATGTTGAAATTACGTCACAGGGGCAACTCGGACAACAAAATCTGGTCCGACTTCAACGTCATTAAAGGGGTGTGTTTCCGACGGGAAGTGACGTTTTTCGTGACGTTTTCATCCGAGTTCCGACTTGGAGAGAAATAATCGAACGCACCATAAGTCTCACGTCCTGCCATGGGGAAGTAAGCAGGTTTCAAGGCGGATTCCAGCTGGGGTCCCAGAGATTCCGTATCTCTGCGATTATTCCGCTTCTTTTTAAGCGTTGAGTTCATAGGAGCCAGGGACAGTTCAGGAAGTTCCAACGGGGAACAACAAGGCAACCCACAGTCCAGGTATACCTGCCTGATCATCGTCTCTGCCACTCCGCTCCTCAGCTGCAGCAGGTTTTCTCGCACCTCCTCCGCGAATTGCGAGTCTTCGGACAGGGAGATCTCCTCCAGGATATCCTTTGACCATATACTGTAGCAAGGGTGTGTGATCAGTAGCTGCGCCCACCGCCCCACTCCGATTAACATATATTTGCATGTAGCGAACTTGAAAATGAAAAGCCAAAGTAGGAAATGAAAGCTCAAATTGGAAAATGAAAAGACAAAAATGGTTTTTAATTTTATTTTTCAATTTTTCACATCTGACTCATACATGAATGGAAAATTAAAATGCAAATAGTGCTATTTCATTTTAATTTTAATTTGTGCAGGATTTTTACGCACAGACTTTGGGAAGTAAATGGCAAAGTGGAGATTGTATTTTCTTTTTATCATTTCAATTTTAATTTTATTTTTTGCAGAAAATACCTCCCATATGATCATGCCCCAGTCAGTGAACGTGTGTTTCCTACCCCTAGACCCCAGACGGTTAACATTACATGTTGTTATTATTGAGTGTGTTAGCCCGTAATAAAGTCCTTTGTCCATATCCACGGCTTCCTTCGCCTGCTCTCCTGTGCGAGCTGTGACAGAGCCTCAAAACATAGATCTGAGTCAGCCAGGGCACCAAGGGCTGAGTGTGCAGCTTACACAAGTGAACATCCCTTCTGTCATGAATTCAAGGCCTCACCTTTGTTTAGCATGTTTTGTGGACAGTGTGTGGCTCAGTGGGCTAAGACTCTGTGCCTGTGATTTGAAAGTTGCAAGTCTGAAACCAGCCTTGGCAGATTAGTCACATCTGTGGGCTCATAAGCAAAAAGTTATAGCAAAGCAAATCTTCTTCAGCACTTAATTTCTGATCCAATTATCATATAT